CGCTGACAAATAATTTTGTAAAGTAGAATTTTCTTCCTTTTTTTTACATAACCCGACATCACATATAACACGTTGTGCTGATTCCAGCATTTCTTCCATTCGATTCGTTTCCCCTCATCCACCATCCACGAAGCTCTTCGAACTTTTCTTGCGCGTAGGATTGCTGTTAAATAAGGATTCCCGTCGTTTTGAATTCCTTTGAGTGCTACTTGTGTTGATTCTCCTTGGAGTCCTCGGATAATCGTGCTGTAACGTCTCCATATTGATTACGCCAACCAGTTTGTCTCAGAAAAGTTTGGCAACAACCTCGGAAAGATGACAGGCTTGGTGGGTCGGCAGCGCTGACGAAGCATCGCCATACTAAGTTGAGCTGATCGCGTAATGAACGAGATCAATATCACTGCACTACACACTCCACACTAGAATTAGCTCCCATACAACAAAGCATTATTTACAACATATCCCTGCAGTTAACGTTGTTGAATTATCACCGCTATGAGGAGTGACGACGTACCGAGAATTACAAAGGACTAAGGTGACGATTTCTACCTACAATACACGTGCATTTGCATCCAACTCCTCAATAAAAGACTTGCTCATGCAAGCGACAAATATAGGGTACGACGTCATCGGCCTGGCCGAGACGAGACGACGCCACCCATTCATTCAACGCCGCCTATGACGCCGGAGATTAACTGTTCCTTGGAACATACGACAGTAGAGGAGTCGACGGCGTCGGTATTCTCGTCAACACGACCTTGTCCATCCATGAACATCGATCCATTCGAACAGCTTACAACCCGAATCGGACGTTTACGATTTAAAAAAATGTGGATCAATACCGGCTTTGACAATACTTGTCGTTTACGCGCCGACATAAAACTATGACGAAGAAGAAGTCGAAGCGTTTTATATGGACTTGGAGAAGTTCTATAGAGAAAACCATATATTCTTCAAGGTCATCGTTGGAGACAAGACTGGACCAAAAAGAACATCTAAAGAGTGTCACATTGGGACCCATGGATTAGAATGGAACGAACAGGGTGAGAGGCTGTCTGAGTTTATCATGGTGACCAAAACCGTCTATGGTAACTCGCAATTCCAGAAGTCCCACCCTCAACGCTGGACGTGGGAGTCTCCCAGTGGAGGGTAGTATAATGAAATAGACAACATAGTAAACCAAAGGTTTTGCCTAACCGATGTCGCTGTACTCCCAAGATTCTACACGGGATCAGACCATCGTCTCCTTCGTGCAAGATTGTACTTCTCGCGGATAGGAGAAAAAGCCGCTAAATTCAAAAACCGACGTCCCAGAAACACCATTAACTGGGACATATTCAATTCATCAGTCGGCTTTTGGGAGGATTCCGCTGCCGATAACACAGACGAAAAATACGATCCGCTCATTCAACATCTTCACGCTAGCGCAATGATAGCTGAGAGTTCGAAAGTCACCAAGAGACGTCTGTCTTCAGAAACACTCGAGCTGATACGCCAGCGTGGAATCGCACGGGGCTGCAGGCAACCACGGACTGACGTCCGAACTTGCAAGGCAATGCATACAGGCGATAAAAGAAGATCTTAAAGAGAGAACAGCAGAAGTAATGGTCGAAGTTGCAGAGGCTGGGAAACCAATCGCAAAGCCCACCGATGCTTTCCAATTACAAGACCGAGATTATTGCATTTCGATATCCCAGACGGAACAGTTACAGAAACCAGAAAAGCAATGGAGAAAATTATTTGCGAATACTACTCAGACCTCTTCGATAGCCACGTCCACCTTCCGTCATATGAAATAAAGGATGATGGATATGTTGTATCACCGGTTCTTGCTTCCGAAACCCAATATGCAATTTCGTCGGTGAAAAATCGAAAAGCACCAGGTGCAGACAGGATAATACCAGAACGCCTGAAGAACCTTCCGCCAGTCCTCGCAAACAAAGTGGCTCGGTTCTTCACACGTTACCTGTCTGAATGCGAGCCCCCTATTCAGTGGAAGACCAGCGGGACCGTGTTATTGTTCAAGAAGGGTGACCTACACGATATCGGCAACTATAGCCCAATCTGCTTACTGTCTGTCGTCTACAAACTTTTCACTCGAGTCATCCTAAACAGGATTGACAAAACATTTGGACGAAGGACAGCCATGTGAGCAAGCAGGGTTCGAAAAGAATTTAGTACGATGGGTCGCGGTCGCACCTGTGTTAGGTCGTCGCCGTAATAAATGGCATAATTTACATTGCACTACTCACTTCCTAGTGATGCATTGCAATACTTGATTCAACACAATGCTCTTCACAAAGAAATTCCTACTTCCCCCGTTCTTGAACTAAGAAGCGAAAGAGGAATGTGGTCTTTAACGTCGTTCTCAGTATGCCGGTTACACAAATCGCTGGAATCACTGTCCTCCTAAAAGAATCCCAGTTTCAAGTCAGTGATCCTTCTTCCAATCCAAAAAGGTAACGACTGTATGTGTTAATAACCTCGAAACGGCCTGAACAGGCTTTTTCGGGACTATAAGAACAAGTACGAGATATCAAAGTGCAACTACTGTAAACAAATCCGGTACTGTTTTCACCAACTCCTAAGTGAACACTTAAAAAAATTCCCTTAGAGGATATACTCTGAGAACCTAACCAATCTATATTACTTAAATGAGCGATTATGACAGCGGCACGGAGGCGTTCTGACCCTTACTGAAAAACCTGAGTGCTAACTTTCCCCTACTATTAACGTGGTTTTCACACAGCCATTTTCCCCCACAATCACAACGGTGTCAATTAATAATAGGGTGGAGAAGTGTGAAGCAAAAATTCACATATTTCATGCTGATGACATGATGATAGCAATGAAAGATCACAGCAATGCAGATGCAATGTATGCAAACATGTTATGTCGAAATATAACGCAAACATTGTTTTAAAAAAACATCAAAAATGACACGCACCGTATAGAAACTTAAAGGAGAGGAAAAATAACCAACCCTAAATGCTTATTTCTTATTAAATACGCCAATTAGTAGAACGGATTCTATGTGAGTATGGTAATAAACTTTTTTGTGCACATAAAAGATTATACTCACCAAGCAACACTGTGGGAAATGGTCTTTTCGAACAGATTTTTTGAGCTTAAAACGAATAAATGAAACATTGCCTGTTTAAGCAACGATAGCGACTCTGCTAAGGGAAATCGACGCTTCTCCAAATCATTTCCAGCTTTGTTACCATGTTTGATAGAGTCAATAAGGTTATGACAAGCAATCCAGAACTGCTTTGACCGACGATTCTCCGAATCCTGTTTAAAAAACACTTTTTGAAAAAAAAAGTTGGTTTCCTAGAAGCATGCGTTACTGTGCTTCGTGCTTTGACATAATCGACAGTTCAACATCAGCACTGAATGAGAATATCAGTAAATTCAAACGTTCTCATTTTGGTGATGACATGAATAGCTGCTCGCACACTAATTATTGGTTGTGATAAAATGTACAGACTTGCAATAAAGTATGCTTTGAGGTGCACATAAAGCAGTCACGTAGCTCCAACCTCACGCGTTTACATAAATGCTAACCGACCTAACTTAGAGTAGCCGTTACTTACGGCATCATAGGTGAAGGGAGTAAGCTAATCTAATTTTGTTTCTGAAAACAGTAACCCAGGCTCAAGAACAATGACTAGCCGACTATAAAATTAATCATCTAGTGTCCGCTCTTCATTTACAACGCAAACATACACCACAGTGAATTGCGTCATATGTTTGGACAGAATTCGCACTGCTCTACGCAGTCACTTTGAGGGAATATGAAAAACTGACAACTGGGACCTCGTCAGCTATTCTGCACATATTTTCTATCAAAGAAATAGGAAAACAAAATGATGAACAGCTAGAGAAAGAATATCACAACTGTGTTAAATGTTGAAGGCATAAAACGTGATTTTCAAGGAACAATAAAGTATCAGATTGGAAGAAGAGATCCGAAAAAAATACTATGGGCTTATATTGTAGACAATATGCTGTAACTCTTTCACTTCGGCTTTCAGTTTGAAAAGATAAATTTAGTGGAAAAGCTTCGATAGTTAAGAAAGCTACTGTACATATCCATGCTAAGCTTTAACAAGCTTTAACACAACTACTGATATGAAGAATGAGAAAGTAAGGCCAACAGAGGGGATGGTGATGTACAAATTCGCTATCGACTTACCAAAGCGACTCTGTTATTGAGAGCAAACTCTATACCCTCCAAGCGGCTTAACGCTGCGCCAACTTGACGACTGTGAATATCACGTTCCAGTTTGATTGCCTGAAAGTAACAAATGTGTAAAAGAGTCAACTTGAAACTAGCTATAATCCTCAATCAGTTGCACACGTTCTACGCAACATGTACACTTACCTCCTCAACTTTTTGGCTATGCTCGATTTCAAACAGTTGCCGTTGCGTACGAATTACTTGCTCCAAATGCTCAGAATGCGCTGCGGCGGTTCGTTTTAACTGCTCTTCCATCTCAGTTTCCCAAGAAGATCGATTTTTCATTACCTCCAAAACATATTCTCTTAAAGGCTAACTTTGACTAAGTAATAAAAGTGACAGTACGAGCTTAAACTTCCCTAACCATGAACTACTTACCGCAGAAGTAATGAGGTTCTATAGTTCTCCAACTATTTTTGAGTTGATCAAGTAACCATGAGAGAAAAATTCTAACTTTTTTAAGAGGCTTAACATGGAAATGTGGAAGAAATGAAATATATCACTGAAAACGGCGAAGTTATGGCTTATATCTTTCTGTTTTCTTTCTTCTTTTTGATGCTACTAGTGGCCAAGAAAGTGAGCAATTAGACTATGCTAGTCGTATGTTTTGCAATGCTAACCTAAAACTACAATAAATGGAGCCGTTAATACGTACAGCTCTAGGCTGGTTTTTCTATATCCGCCGATAATTTGTTTCCACGCGACCTCGAAGACTCATATCATAAGAACCGCACAGTCTCAATAAAGGTTTATAACGATCGCCCATAATCCTTTGCATGAAACGAAATATTCTAGCAATAACTGGTCGATAACTGGAGTACTCCAGGAGTTGAAAAATGAAAGAACGGTAGGTGAGGTGTTGTACTACCGCTTCAAGCGCACAAATAGTTTTTCCAAATATTCCGCGTTTTAAATTCTTTTAATAGTCAAACTTTCAAAAACAGAGAATGGAACTTGAGATTTCAAAAATTTAACCCAAGCTTGACAGGAAGATCATGGATACATTGGAAAACACCACCCTCTCCTGCTGAAAGAAATCATTTTTAACACCTATACGACGATGCGACTCATGTAGCAGTCATACGATGCCAACAAAACGGCCACTTTAGTTTTAAAGGAGCATACCTCAGCTCATAGTGAAATGTATTGATTGTAGCAAGATTTGTTAGCATATACAAATCCTTGCCTATACAACAAAAGCCTTATGGTTTACCAAGAAGAAATTCTGATTTTATGGAAAACATAAGATTTTTTTTTCACTTCATTGCTTAAGAGCTCAAATTTTGTAGGCGAAAGCAATAGAACAAACGGCATTTCGTTCAGCTGAACATGATATGTTACCGGTACCGCTCTTCCCGTGGGAGTTCCAAAGTCTTAAATTTTTTTCCCCAATACATCGTTTATGTGTGCAACTGCCGCTCTTCCCTTGGGAGTTCTAAAGACTTAAATTTTATTTCCATCCTTTCGAAAGTTTTACTAGGTTGTTCGGAAAATAATGCAGGATTTGCAGTTTCACTTTGTTGCGTGTTTTAGCAAAAAAGTTTCGAATTTTGTACTACTACATATCAAGGTAAAGCTTATTTTATGCACATTCTCTCCGTATAATTTAATTGTGGTGTAAATTCTGCTGCTAGCAAATTTTACATTCTATAAATTCAGATTAGGAAACAGGGAACTTGACAAATTTACTTTTATGATTCAGAGTCGCTCTTAGTGCAACGCAAAACGCTCAAACAATTAATGAGAAATGGAGTATGGATATGTTAACTGACTCACAATGCAACGTTGGTTCAAAAAAACTATATCATGGCGAATGTAGTTACATCGAGTTATTCTGCTTCGGTAGAAAGATGGTAATGCAGTAGTAGTTAAGGCGATCATCACAAGCACGGTACTGGATCGACCCCGCCCTGGACTCACCACGCTCTTCATTTCTCCGAGTTATGAAAATTGGTGTAATCCGCATGGAAAAACCCTACCACGGTGATTTCAAAAGTCCAAGGAAAACCGATTCGACCAGAATTCAATGACATTCATAAAGAAAGCAACAAGCATCAAACAGCATCCGAAGCCACACGCGAAATGTTTGAATACGTTCGCTGATGATGGATGCGAGGAAACGAATGAAATGCAATATGTACTGAGACCGTAAAACAATGAAAAAATGTTGTTCCATAGCACTGTAAAGAACATTGGAAAGTTGAAGAAGCTTAAAAAATGGATGCCGTATGTAGCACGCTGTCATAGGACTCATTAACAACGCTACGAAAGCTGGTCGAGCTGGGATATAAAATTCTGCTTCGTTCACCACATTCAACAAAACTTTCGTCGACTGATTATCGTTTTTTCAAGCACTTCCACAATTTATTTCCCAAGAAATCCCGCAAAAACAAAGACGAGGTCGAAGTTGCCTTCAGCTTCATCGTCTCCAGAACTCCAGAGTTTTATGCAACCGGAATAGGCAGACTTGTTTCCCCTAAGGAAAAAAGTGTAGATTCCAGTAGTTTCTATTTCGATTAATAAAGCTTATTCTGAGTCAACACATGGCGCATTAAACATGCGGGTTGAAGCTCTGCGTTGAATTTCATGCAAAACAATAATTCCAAACATAATTTAATTTGAAATAACCCTGTATAAAAATTAAGTGATGCGACTATGCGATAGAACGAAGTCTTTTCGATAATTTTACAATGTTTTAAACTCTTGAAATATCCTAGTGATCGAGAAATTGTCATCAGCTATCGAAAAACCAGCTCTGTCGCGAACGGCTTAGCCCATCGGTTTGCCATGCGAAATACGAGCCTAAACGGAGAAAAAGCCAAAAAATACACCAAGTGGGATATACAGAGGACTTCCAATATCCTAATGCACTTCCCTCTCATCATCTGTAAAATTGTTCCTAACATCCAGCCTACATAACTGCTTCGCAGACAGGTGGAAAGTGCTCTGAAATGTCCTTGCATGTTGGAATCTCCGTACATATAGGCTTAATGTGTTAACATTTACTGGATGACGTGACCTTTATTAGAGCCGAATTGTAGGGATAAATGAGGCCGTTGTGACCTCCATAGAAGCCATTTTTCTTCTAATAGTTTAATATAGCCTACAGAGCCCTTTTCCTACACTTCTTGTAGCCTTCCCTTACCTTATCCAATTCCAATCCAAATGATGCACATGAGTTCGCACGGAAAAGCTCCATTCTAAACTCAGAATTACACAAGAAACCTTTAATAAATAAGGAATGGGCAGACATAGAAAATACAGAAGTAAACTCAACAAAAGTAGCGGAAGAATTCCAAATGCTGAAAGCAACTTGTTCGTATGATGGGACACAGTAACACATAGAGTATTCATACCCAAATAACGATAATAGAGCATATTACATCCATGATTTTGTGGTATTTTCAACAACCTAAATCTACAAATATCAAAACATCATCGTCCATTGTCGGAAAACAGGTTCGTAACAACATGATATTAGGTAAAATCTCACGCCATAGTAATGCAAAATTAGACCTATCTACATAAGTGTGAACATCTTTATTCTTACGGAAGCATTAGATGGAAAAGTTATGACCTTTTACAGTGCGATCTACGAACTCCAAGCTTGCATATTAACCACCATTTGTTTGCGAAATCATTATGCTGTTCTGTCCGACTTTTCCTATCCACTCTTGTTTTGATTAACATAAACCCGATCGATCTCAACTGAGATATTCGTGATTTTGCATCGATGGTCTATTCAAGTTGTTCACCAATCTTCAAATGACCACTGGACATTTAATAAATTTCCTGTTTTTGAGGTCCAGCGCAGATCCAATACAAGCTCTGACTGACATGCATAATACACACCGTTCTCAACGGAACTATACTTTTGCCAAACAGGATCCAAGATAAAAAAAAAAACAAACCTCCTTAATGAACGAAAAAACGTAACTTTTTGGAAAAATCCTGCACTTTCTAACTGTTCCACTTGAATTAGTAGCGTTTATAGAAAGCTGAGATCTCTTTGTTCAAGTTGAAATGTCAGTATCAAATCTACTCAAAAAGCCATTTTTCCCCTGGGTCATTAATCTACTGAGAAAGCTAACATATGAATCTGAAAAGCACCTCATGGAGAAGCTTAACAGTTTTTCTAAGCACTTTTTTCAGACTACAAAAACAATGAAGGCGGAATTTCAAACTGACATGGACAGCTCACCACGAAATCTTTCTTCACCTATGAGCTTACATAAATACTCCCCCTTTCTAGCAGAATGACTCACTATTGTGATGAAATAATTAGTACATCTATTCAACATTTCAGTATAAACAAGACTTCAATGTAAAAAGAGATTTTCAGAGTACGGAAAGTTTTCTTTCCGAATTAAGCGAAAGTGGTCAACATCTCACTTAATAAACTAGCGATACTCACTGCTCTCTCTATTTCAACGTCCTGTTGTCGCTGAAGATTTTCCAGCTCAAGTTTTAAACGCTCAGCTGCGATGCGTTCGTCAGCTTCGCGCTGATCAGCGATAGCACAAGCGATGTTCTGCTCCTCACGTACCTTCATTTAGACACTTCAAATTAATTGGAAGATAAACAGAATCAGTGATCTCAACCTATCAGCAACTATGAAGCTTCATCTCACCTGTTGTTCTGAGAGCTGCCTTCTCAAATGATCCACCTCTAAATGTGCATGCGCAATAAGAGCGTTCAACTCATCCTCAGTTAAGTTTTTTTCCTGAGAATTCAATCAATAAAATTTTAATTACGATCCAAAATAATTAGGAATTCCTGCATATAAATCCGAAAAGAGGAGTAACTACTAAAGGATTTTAATCGATAAATAGAACACCGATTTCACGAACGCAATGGCTCAAAAGGTAGACCTAATGTCATTAGGTAAGGTAAATGTCTATGGCCGCAAAATTCACAGATTTAATTTTTCACGAAGTTTGCATATAAAAGAAACATAAATGTTTCAGTTTGCAAATATTTCTTTGCAAACTGAAGCACAAAACAGACATATGTCCACCTTCCACCACAAACCTACGTTCACGCTGACAAATAATTTTGTAAAGTAGAATTTTCTTCCTTTTTTTTACATAACCCGACATCACATATAACACGTTGT